TCCCCAGTGTGGGGCTTGAACTCACAACCCCAAGATCAAGAGTCATACACTCCACTGACTGAGCCAGCCAGGTGCCTCAAGCCATTTATTTTTTATAGTGAGTCTGTTTAAATGACATAAGTATTTTAAATTAGAGGAATCAGCATTACATATGTTTTTGAATATGGATTTGGTCCCATGGTGTGGGGAAAATCCTTTCTCACAGACTAATTATAAACAGTAACAGACTTTTTTTTTTTTTTAAGCAGTTAGCATTTACCATCTCTGTATTCTTTTGTTTCATCTGATTCAAAACCTAGAGGATTAATAGGACATTTTGTTTCAAAGTTGAATCTGACAATAATCTAGCAACTGTTTATATTTTCTTTCCATAAATCTCAAAGTCAGACAAGAATCTGAAACTTAACATGACCACACGTCATTTGTTACACATTCCATTCCCTTATTCATTACATCATGAGGAGAGCATGCCCCAGCAGTTGTTCCTAGCCTTAGCTGGCGTATACTTGAATGTGGCATGTGTATACTTTGATATTGTTCTTGCTAGACAGAAGCAGACGTGAGTTATTAAAAAGTCACAGTATAGATCTAAATCTTCCTAAACATGTTTATCAGAAGCACAAATCTGTGCCCAAAGATGACAGGAAAAGCTTTATTACAAGGGCTGCATGAATTATGAATGACCTTGGCAGCACAAGTTAACTCATTGGTGGTTTCTTCCTTACCTACTCCAACCCCTCTACAACCAAATCCTTCTCTTTTTTTCCTCTTTGTTTCCCTAGTTTTAGAGCAAAAAGAGCAAAGGAGAGTTTTGCTTTATCCCTTAAATGAGGGTGAAATAAAATACTCTTTTCTTCAAAGATCCCAGCCTTCCTGGAGAGGAGCTACTCTAGGGAGGTAGGAGGAGAATATTCAGATGATGAGGACCATGAAATAGATGAGTGAAGGTGATGCTGGACTCACTCATCTTTACAGATAATCCCATAAGATTCTGGCAAGCTGTAGGAGACAGGGTCACCGAGGAAATGGTGTGGCACAGAAACAGATTTGGAGATCTACTAGGATGTGTCTACCTCTGATTCTAGGTTTATCAGAGAATAGGAGGTATGTTTTTTCCCATCTGCATTAAAGAAGAAAGAATGAAGTGTGTTGATTTTTTTTTTTTAAGAATGTATTCTTTATCTAATGGCCCAAGATTTTTTCACATTGTCTAAAACTAGTTGCAAACCAAATAGAGAAGGCAAGACCTTACTCTCACTTTAAAAAAATTTATTTTATTTTATTTTTTATCTTATTTTTAGTAAGCTCTACACCCAACGTAGGACTTGAACTCACAACCCGAGATGAAGAGTCGCATGCTCTACCAACTCAGCCAGCCAGGTGTCCCATTACTCTTAACTTTTTATAAGCTTTAGAAACAGAAAATAACAGTTGGATTCAGGGCCTCTACAAAAGTAAAGACTCATTTATATTCTAAATTATAGCAGGTATGTAATGATGGTGAAGAAACATTAAATGGCTTGATTCTGGATGTCTATAAATGCTGGAGTTTTTAGAACATTTTTGAGCTTATTACACAAGGTCGCAGTAACAGGAAAAAATGATCTCTTAGATCTAGGATTTAAATATCTATCATTACATAATGGGTCGCTTTCCCAGCTGAATCATGTGAGCCTGTCTCTGGGATGGGTGATAAAACTGGACTAAGCCAAGAAACTTTTAAATTGTTACTTCTTTTTTAACTTTGAATAAAAAATATTTTTGAGTTAACATTTTTTTAATTAATTTTACTTTAAAATTTTAATCACCTCAGTAAATATGTACTGTATATTTTTGCCTTTGGTTAGGTAAATAACCATTAGTGGTAGAACAGAGGTTTGGAAATCAGGGAGCTCTTCTTGTGTTTTCTGTGTCATAGATTAATGCTCTAAGGGACAATTTATGTAACTACCCTGAGCCTGGCTTATCTGTATACTGTATCGGTAGGCCCTCGCTGCCCAGTAAGGGAGTCACTAGCCACAGGTGGTTACTGAGCCTTTGAAGTGTGGCTGGTCCAAATTGAGATGTGCTCTAAGTGTAAAATATACACTGAATTTTAGAGACTTAGCACAGAGATAAGAATGTAAAATATTATATTGCTAATTTGTTCATATTGATTACATTGTTGGAATGATAATATTTTGGGTACATTGGTTAAGTAAAAATATTATTAAAATTAATTTCACCCATTCCTTTTTTTTTTTCCCCAAAGTATCTCTGCGCCCAGTGCGGAGTTCAATCTCATGATCCTGAGATCAAAAGTTGCCTGCTCTACTGACTTAGCCAGCCAGGTGCTCCTTTTATTCCTTTTTTTAATGTGGCTGCTAGAGAATTTTAAGTTCCATACATGGCTCACATTATATGTCTTTTGGACAGTTCTGGTTTGGGCAGCATTTCCTAAACTAATTCGTGGAATATTAATAAGTGCTCAATGAAACAGTTTGGAAGATGAACAGTGTCCAGTAGAACTTTTTGCAATGTTATAAATGTTCTGTATCTGCGCTCTCCAATATAATAGCTACTAGCCACTGATGGCTGTTGAGCACTTGAAATGTGGCTATTTCTGACATTGAAAAATTGAAATGTGGAGCACCTGGGTGGCTCAGTCGGTTAAGCTTCTGCCTTCGGCTCAGGTCATGATCCCAGGGTCCTGGGATCAAGTCCTACATTGGGCTCTCTGCTTGGTGGGGAGTCTGCTTCTCCCTCTGCCCCTCCCCCCTGCTCGTGTTTTCTCTCTCTCTCTCTCTCTCAAAAATAAATAAATAAAATTAAAAAAAGAAAAATCGAAATGTGGAAGAAAGGAACTGAATTTTGAATTAGCTTTATTTTTTTATTTTTAATTTTTAAAAAATTTAATTAACTTTAAATAGCCACATATGAGTAGTTGCTAATATATCAGGACAGTACTGATCTAGAAGATTTATGGGATTGTTTTATTCGAAGACCTGTATATAAGGACTTGTTTACTATATTGCAAACTTGCTTAATATGTCTGTGATTTGGATTTATTATGAGTAATGATAAGTGATCAGTAACAGTAATATTTATTGAGCACCTGTTATGTATCAGGTACTGTGTAAGTACCAGAAAGGGGATTTGTATGATAAATTATTTATTAAGAGCTTAACTATATGTATTGCTTATGTTTTGTAATATGCTGGATGCATTGTGAATTCCAAGGTGCTATTTGAGCTTTACCATGTTTTCATCAAAGTCTGGTTTCTTTCCTTTCCTTATAAGTCCCCTTCTGTGAAAGCCTGGCTCCTCTTGAAAAGTCTGAGTGATGTGCTGCCTTGTTAAAGGATTTTTTCTTGAAAGGGAAACCTACACTTTCTGACAGATGATGATGGCTTTGTTTTTGTTTTTAGTAAACTTTTTTTTTTTTAATTTATTTATTAGCGAGTATGTGCATGCAGTGGGTGGGGGGTGAGTGATAGAGGGAGAAGGAGAGAGAATCTCAAGCAGACTCCCTGATGAGTGGGGAGCCCGACACCTGGCTCAGTCTCACGACCCTGAGATAATGACCTGAGTTGAAATCAAGAGTTGGGACGCTTAACCAACTGAGCCACCCAGGCGCCCCTGTTTTTACTAAACTTTTGAAGTTAGTTATGCTTTTTACTTTAACAGGAATATGTACATGTTTATACAGAGACTTTGAGAGTTCGGTATTATGTAATATTTATTTTCTTTGTTTATGTGTACACATATATTTATAAGTACTAGCATCGAGCATTGTTTGATTATTTATTTATTATTACTTCACAGTGAAAAACAAATGTCATCATGTCTGGAATCAAGCGAACAATCAAAGAAACCGACCCTGATTATGAGGATATATCTGTGGCCCTTCCAAATAAGCGTCATAAAGCAATTGAGAATTCAGGTAAAACTTCACCTGCTTTAGGAAATTATTTCTTTATTGAGATATGCTTCCTTATAAGATTTATAGTAACTAAATCAAAATGCATTTCCACTGTTTTGTATAATTTGAAGAGGGATTAGTTAAGTGCTCTGTTAATAGCAATACACCATGTGTGTTGAAAAAGGCCAGAAGACAATCAGTAGACAGTGGAAGTGTCAATAATGAGACTGGCTGTAAGTTTTAGCTGTCATTGTATGTTAGGCATAACCATAAAGTCTTATAATATGCAGTGTGGGTACATGATAATGGGTGGTACATGGATTAAAGTTTTTTATTGTAATAGTGGCATATTAATGTCTTTTGGAAAGATATGGTCTCATCCAGCTTGTAGTTTTGTGACTACTTTTGCTTAGGATAAGGCTAAAATTATTTTAAAGTATTATTTAATTATGTTAATTGGATGTTTCATATGGTTCTCAGATGTGGTGTAAGTAACTTAAAGGTGGTATACTAATGATTTAAATTTGGAAAATAGTGATCTAGTTTAACCCTTGCACTTAGCTGCTAGTAGTTTAGGCTCAGAGGCATTAAATTACTTGCCCAAGATCATGTAATTAGTTGAGCAAATCATCAACTATGTGTCTGTAGCTACCCAGAATATTTTAATTTATTTATTTTTTATTTTATTTATTTATTTATTTATTAAAAAGATTTTATTTAGTTATTTGACAGAGAGACAGCGAGAGAGGGAACACAAGCAGGGGG